TCCCTACAGGATTTCTTGTAGGTAGCTGTTCTGTCTGATTTTGGAATAGCTGAGTTTGTGACTCGGTAGTTTTTGAAACTTCACTGCTGTCAGCCCTTGTGTGCCTCTCTTCTGCATATAAATCTGAATGGACTTCAGTCTTGCTTTTAATTTTCTCTTTATCCTTCTTAGAATATTTTACTTTTCTGAAATTTGCTAATATTTTATCATCAGAATTGGCATTACAATTTTTATTTTGGTGTAACTTATCTTTATCTTTCACTGTAACTGCAAGTAGTTCTCCTGCATCACTGGCAGTCAACTCCATATCTGCACCATAAACAGTTTCTTCACGCTTCATCTTATCAGTCAAAAGCAGCTTCTTAAAATCTGTCCTGCTTTCATTGTTAAATTTAAGAGCTGAAGGAATAACGCGAGATGAGTCACTTGAACTGTCCTGCAAATTCGTATCATTAGTGTTGCTGCTGCTGTTGATACCATGGAACGGCAGATTATCTGAGCTACATTTTTTATCAAAATCCTTTATATTAGGTTTAGTTGTTGACTTATGAAGTTCTTTGTCTTTCTTCCTTTCAGTCACATTTCCACTGAGTGGCAATGAACTATCATTGTGTTGTTTTGTAAGTTCCTCAGGCTGTCTTAGAGATTGTGTATTTTTGACATGAGTCAGGAGGGCACTATCGCAAGTTAGTTCGGTGTGTAATTGATTTTCTGCAAAAAGAAAAATTTTAACAGCTTGGGGAAAGAAAGGCTGGAGCATAGTTATCAGAATAAGATTATGGAAAGTTGGACCAGAAGCATGGAAAATTACAAACTTTTTTTAACTGAATACACACATTCTGTGGTTGGTCCTTAAAAATTTCATTAACTAGAGCTAACTTTATATTTTACCTGTGTTGGATTTTTGAAATTGTCTGTAAATACAAAGGTAATTTTCTATAACAAATACAGTTCATCTTTGGTTATCTTACTAAATTTATTCTGTTCACATCAATTTTGTTACATTTCAGCTGTGTTATTTCAATGAACATTATTCTGCAAGTGACTGTCAGCACACCTTTACTTATGGGTGAGAATTCCATTTTTTTGTTAGTTTATTACAGTTTAAGAATCTTACTATACCTTCCGTATCACACTTCAAGTAATGAATTATTAAATACTAATTCTCAGATAGCTCTGAAAAATAAATCACCTGTACAGAAATACAACATACCTTTAAAAAATATATTTTTGTCAATGGTTGTTTCCACTGAGTCTATTTCAATTAACTTTTGATTTGTACCAGAAGGCAATGATAATGCAAACTTGACTTGATCTGAATGCATTTCCTTTGGCAAAACAGTGGTACACTTATGAGAATTTGGTAATTCACACACAGAAGGTCTATCTTGCTGTTTTGCATTAGCTGTGGCTTTTAAAGGAAGCTTCACTGGCAATTTTAGAGATCTGAAAAGAGGAAATTTTACTTTGAAGAATTTTATTACAGTTTATGTCATAACATTCAATCATTTAAAACATTTCCTTAATAATATATAAAAGCAGAAAACAAAGAACTCTAGTATGCACTCTGGTTCCAAGTCAGGGGCAAATATATATTTTTTAATGATAGAGAATCCTGCTTTGTGCTGGGGAGATCCCACGACAAAACCAGCAAGCTATTAAAACACAACTTTTGTCTACTGCTCTCTATATAAATTCCAAGTTGCAAATAGGTAATTTCTGAATTAGACTGGAAATTGTTTCCCATTACCTCAAAAATTTTTAGGACAATATACAAAGATTAGCTGTAAAAAAACCCCACAGTCACTTACCAAATTCCACATTTAATACAACCACCTACCTAGCAGACTGACAGGTACCCTTGAACTCGTCATCAGTAGGGCTACTTGGACCAGCTGACAGAAGATAACTCTGAAGAACCAAAAGAAGAACAGTGGGGAACAGAAACAGTTGAACATTCTCTTATGTTTTAAGTATCAGTAACATTCACAGGAGGAAAAAAAAAATATGGCCAAAAACCAGAAGTACTGATGAGAGATGTATGATATTCAAACAGAGAGAGTAATTTTAAACAAAATACTTTGTAGCAAAACTTATCAGAACCTGTAACCTACCTGCATCCCAAACAATGTAAAGACTTTCTAAAACTTAGCTGTAACTAACACAAACCGTATTATACATATAGAAACACAGAGCAACTCTAAGCAACTGCAGAACAGACTATAAAATTAGTTTTTTTAAAATCAACTGTAATTTTGTCATGACACAAGGAATAATATGGATTATGTTTTCTAGAGAAGTTTCCACATGCAACATATTAATTGCAGCACCAAGCAAAGAAAGCAAGTAGCTCATTCATTGGTGAAGAATGCCACATACTGAAGTGCTATGCTTTGGTTGTTTTTTTTTAACCACATGACTTCATCAGGGCTGATATTTAACTTTCAGATACTTTGTAAACAAGATTAAATCCTAAATTTTTACTGCAAGCAACAGCAAAATTTAATTGATTTCTGATTTCACTAGACTGGGGTTTCATCCCAAGTTTTAAGGAACTGTGGTAAATGTTTTAAAATACTTAAATATTTTGAACATTGCACTCATTTAGATCCTTTGAATATATTATCCTGAAAAGTGAGTTCAATATGGTAATAGTGTGAAAAAATCTTACCTCAGAAAGACTGCTTATTTCTATTGCATTTAAGAGCTTATAATTCAAAAATGCTTCTATTTCTATAAGAGTTGTATTCTGCATGTAAAAGAAAAATGAATTTTAAATAGATGTATTTTAAGTGGTTTCTGACTTAAGATCTAGAGGTGAATCTGTGTTGTATTATTTTTAACACTCAGTTGAGCACAAACTCATTTTTAATACCATCTCAATATCACTAAATATAAAGGAGACATTGACACTAAAATAGCTATGGATAGACATATACACTCATGGACAAAACAGTACCAAAAAATTCCACGAAAGCATTATCAAACATGAATGCTACCAGATGAGACAACTTCACAGATCTGAGGTGTATATTTTTTAAATCACCATTTTAAGAAGCAATATTAAGTTAAAAAAAAAAAAAAAAAAGCTTGGTTTAGCTGATTTAAGTTTAAATCACATTATTTGCAGCATACCAAAGAACTTAGTTTTCGACGAAGGAAGATATTATGAAGCTGGAGCTTTTCTATGTCCTTCTGAAGAAGGATGTTCTCATTCTTTAGCTTCCGAGAATTTTCTTTCTCCATGCTCAAAGCCACAGCTAATGCTTTATTATTTTGTTTTAAAGATACTTTTAACACAGATGAGTTATCTAAAGGAGACAAAATAATTATTTTCAACAGCTTCAGTGCAGGCCCTCTCTGCATTAATTATCACTGTATAATGACATTTCCATCTGTAGGTTTTGGTGGAACAATAGTACTTCCTAATATAAAACTGTTTCTGCTGGCTGTCATTCTGATGACGGCTCTGTCAGCTTCATGTTCAAGTTTATTTCATGCAGGGATTCTGCTCTAATCTGGATTTTTTTTAATAAGGTTATTTTAAGAAGAAAGTGTTTAAAAATTTATAGTTTCACAGGTGTAAAAATGTTTCCAAATATCTAAAAACCAAATAGGCATTTTACAAATGAAACAGTTCAAACATTTTAAGCATAAACGTGAGTTCTGACAACAGAAAGAAAAAATATTAAAATCAGAAACATACTCTCCATTATCCTAATGAAAACCTGCCTGCTCATATTTTACTTTTCACCCCCAGTGACACTGCATATTACCAAGACAGTATGTGCCAAAGAGCAAGCACTGAAAATCAGACATTAGGAAGAAAATCTTTACAGTGAGGGTGCTGAAGCGTTGGCACAGGGTGCCCAGAGAAGCAGTGGCTGCCCCATCCCTGTCAGTGTTCAAGGCCAGGTTGAACAGGGCTTGGAGCAGCCTCGTCTTGTGGAAGGTGTCCCTGTGCGTGGCAGCGGGCTGGAACTGGATGATCTTCAAGGTCCCTTCCAACCAAACCATTCTATGATTCTATGATAAAATGGTCAGAGAATTGGATAAATAAAACAACTTACAATCATGTGTTGTGTCAAACTCTCCTAAAATTCTCTGCATTAATGTCTTTAACAGGCAGGAATTCAGCAGATCATGTTAAATACAACTGCTACTACTCTTGAAGGCATATACTCTAAGTACAGTAGACGGCTTTGGTTTTATTTTAATAGGACTTACTTATTAACTTAGTCTTAATTTTAGATGCTAAGGAAGTATTCCATTTTGCAGCTCTTAATTTTCCATCCCTGTTCTTCATGTGTCCTTTAACAGCACCGGAGGTGAAAATGATAGATGACTTCACATTTGCTTTTTTATCCATCATCGGAATGAACCTGTACATTGTCAAAGGGAATGTCCAAATAATACATGATCTTTCTCACACTTTAAAAATTTAAATTTCATTATCTCTTACCAGGATTTGTCATCTCTGAAGCTGAGAAAATTGCTTCAGTCTTTACCTCTGTTCAATCAATTCAGTCAGGTTAATGAATTGCTCGAGACTTAAGTTACATTATGACAGAGTGGCAAAATATTTAATAACCATGAAGACTAAAAAGGATCATGGATTTTTGAGCTTGTCCATTCCCTCAAGCTATCTACTGGAGTTTACACTTAAAAGGGAAAAACCACAAAGTTCTATCCCTTCACAATATGACCATACCAGCTTGTTCTTCCTCAGGACCGATTTTAACTCGAAGCAGCTGAACAAAGCGCACTGAAAATGCTACAAATTTAAGCAAACAGCGGAGCCCACTCCCGCCGCCGCCCGCCGGCCCTCGGGTCCCTCCCGGCCCCACAGGCGAGACCCAGCTCGAGGGCGCCACCTCCTGCCTCGCCGCAGGCGCCGCCAACGGCTGCGCGCCCGCCAACGGCCGTTGGGCGGCAGCCGCTCCATTGGGCCCAACCGCTGCTGACGGGCCTCGCGGCCGGCGGGGGAGAAAACGGTCCTAGTCAGGCCTCAGGGGACAGAGCGCGGCCCTGCACCTGCAAACAGACCGTGCCCGCGTTTCGTGTTGGATGGAGCGTTGCTCAGAATTAAGCCACCGTGCAACGTCTTAATAAAACAACAGGGGAAAGCCGGAAAAGATGATGAAACTACCCGAGAATCAGTAACACTCTGTGCTTCATAATTCGAAGGTAAAACACACAGCTAGGATGGATACAAACCCAGCCCGTATCTACAGCTGGATTTATACCACAACCAGCATTCACCTTTCCTGATGCTTTGCTGATAAAACAGGAAAGGTGCTATAGTGGTTTTGTCACGTACATGCAAAATCGCCCATGTTAGAATAGTTCATGGGTACTCTTACATACATGCGGTTACAGTCATTTCTCGTCAGAAATGGGATATGCTAAGTTACTAACCTTTAATCCACAGTTCTAGTTCTTTTAGTGTTTTTTAAAAAGGAGTGGGATGTGTGTAACTCTTCAACTACGTGTCTTTGCAAAACCATTTTAAATAGCAACCGTTAGTAATGTTAAAAAAACCCCTAAGTATTAATTGTATAAACACTTAGCATCAATCTCAGTATGCTGTGATGAAGAGAGCAGGGAACTACGGATAGTCCACTTGTCAGATTTTGACAGCACTACACTTTCCATTCAAAGAGTTCCTTTAGGTTAAAAGGAGAAAGCCACTAATTCCTTCTCAGTGGAAAGTTAAAACTTCTGGCTGATCTTTAGCTATTAGTAATAGATGAAATGACAAAAATTGAATAGACAGACATCAAGACAGTTATGAAAACAACAGCGCTAAATTTAAAAACCAATATATTATAGCAAGTATGCAGGCTGCCTGCATACTTACCAACTTGTAAGGGTAGGAGTCTCTGATGTTAGAATGTGAGCAAACCCACTTTTAGTTTGGTTCAGGTAATATCAGGACTGGGAATTGCAAGGAAGTATTTTAGTCTAATAAAAGGCCTTTCCTCAAAATGTGTTCTGAGCCCAAAGGCCTTTGCTCTTTAACACTCCCTTCACATACATTCATTTCCAGTGGCCCAGTCCTCCCATTAGCTCAGGTGGACATTAATTCTTAATATTGATCCAGAAATCCACAAATTAATAGTAAATGGGTTTGTGAAAATCTCAAGAGAATTAGAGTTTTAATTTACTTGATGATTTATAGATGTGGAAGGTTGAAATAAAGCATTATGTTCCATAATGCAGTAACCATCATTAAAATCTTACCTTTCCACATGCTAACATTACAATATGCTATAAAGTAAATCAAAGAAAGCATACATAAGCATCAGTGGCATTATTTGAGAATGTGTCTTTATCAACTTACGATTTTCACAATCTGCTACAAACAGCATCTGGAGAGTCCCTCTTTTCTTATTATTCTTTATATATATTCTTTAATATATATTCTTTAATTATATGATACATGGCATGGTTTCCCAGTGTAGCCCTGAAGCTGCAAATCCTGTACTTCTAAGCAATCCCCTTAAAACACAGATTTGATCCAGCACTCCTTATATGCCTTTGGTACATTTCCCCTTACTAGGCAACTTGGAAGAGACTGTAGCCACTGTAAAAGTCTGGCCAAATAGAAGAGCAAATAACCTTACATAACTTTAAAAATAGAAAACCAATCAAATAAAGCTTTACCTCCTTATTCTTTCCAGAAGGCAGTGTTTTCCTCCAGAGCCAATCGTATGTTTTCATTTCCTCCAGTTTTACAACAGTCCAAAGTCCTGCAGGGGCAATTGCCAATTTGCTTCCATTTAATGTTTATGTCACTACTGCGGGCGATAAATTTAAAGCAAAATGTGAATTACTGCGTTTCCACCTGTGGTCATACTTTCCTTTACACTACACCGATGAACTCCCATACTGTAACATTTCACATGTAAAAATCTCTAGTTAATTGCCAGCTGCTCAAAATGGGGAAGAGCTTAAAGCACTGCCAAGTTTCACAGCCTGTAAATCTTAAACACGTATTAAGAGCGGAATTCTGGGTTTGGGGCATTTGGGATCCTATGACTGGTCTTTAAAATAAACAGAAATGAGATGTAGTCAAAGAAAGACAGACGTGCAGAGGCAGACCTGCTGCAGAAGCCCTAACCATGTGGGAAGTGTTGTATTGAAATTGTATCTTACTACATACCTGCAAATCCATCTCTGAGAAGAATCTTGGTGGAAGAATTAATTCCATAGGGTCCAGTAAAGCATGAGTTATTACTAAAGCACTGCTATGTAGATTATGTAGAACATCTCCTCCCTCTGCAGATTCTCTGATGTCTAACAAGACTTGAGCTTGTGCTACAGTTTTTCCTTTAGTATTAAGACCACACCTTCCTCTAATCGCACCCTTTTTTTGCAGAAGCTTAATGAAAATCCATTTCTTAATGCCTTTTCCCCTCTGTAAGATCTGACTGAAATTAGCAAATTGAAACACAAATATACAGAGGATGTGTGTAAGCCTGGCTTCCTTTGGAAATTAGTGAAAAACAAAACAAAGTCACCATGTTCACTTCCCAAGAACATGTAGCTGAAAAGGCAGTTTGCTCATGCAGGCTTGTTATGCTGCATGCGTCTATACCAAATACATGCTGTACTGACCTTGAATAGTAATGATATTTCACATAGTTAAATGTGAGGTCCAAAACATACTGCATTGTTTGTGTACATATACTGACTAACACAAGGAGAAAACAAGCACAGGAAGCTGCAACTTCATTAAGTGAATGTTTTACAATGAGAAAATTTGGAGGTTAAACTTACAGCATATGGTAACATGACAACAATGACCACATTTAAGTTGCAACTCCTGTTTATGAACTATTCACAGAGAGTAGGGACAACAGACATTATATCCTTACTAAGATACAGCTAAACCAGACACCATTATTCCACAAAAATAATCTATTATACCTATTTTTACTTAGGTTATAGTAAATCCAACATCCATGAATTATCAGTCTGTATCACATTCAGTGGCATCTTGTAACTTGTGTGTTTATTTAATTAATTAGATATTAAGCATTAAGGACCTGGCTTCTGGGTGCATTCTTAGCCAAGAACTGTTCAGAAAGCACAGGAGAGCCACGGTGCTTGTGGCAAGCCATTTAAGCTCTGCAACTGTAGCATGGTTAGTTGCTAAAAAAGTGAAGTATATATTTACTGTAGCTTTAACTGCCATACCAATGCAAATCAGCATTAAGATAAAAAAGTGAGTTCTAAGTAGCAAGTGATCACTCAGAGTACACAATTTCAAAGATAAATTCTCCTCTCCCTTTTTACGAGCCATCTAAATCATACCAGATGCAGTCTGATTCAGATGGCTCTTCCCTTCAATGTCCTTCACTTGACTGAAGTCTGAATTACAAGTCTATGCTCCTAAATATTAACTGAAACCACAGTAGCTTATAAATATTTACATATTCTCAAAAATCAAAATGTAGTAACACACCAGAATACAGCAAGCTGCACAGCTATAACAGCAGCTGTTCTGTGACTGTTAACTCATCCTTTAATTTGACCCTGTAGCAAATGAGCTTGCAGTTGAAATTTTAAATACCTTAAATGTGGTAACAAAATGTCAATGAGTAAAAACCCAGGACAATACAGGATGAAAATCAACATGAATTACAGCTATGACTGAGCTAATTTGCTATGTAAATACAGATAAGCTATTTAATATAGGTACGTTTCTTGTATGTGCAGTGTACAGCTAAATAACTGGATTTTTAGTGGACCTCGGATAGCAATTAAAATATATTGCTGACATTTGGGATTTAGTTACTTCTTACTGTATCTTCTAAACATATAATAGCCTATGCTTTCCAGAAAGCTTGCAGGAACTACTTGTTATTTGGCATTTGTATTCACAGGGATATGTTATGACAAAAAAGAGTTTTTTCTCTATCTGATTACAAAGTTAAGCAGGAATTACACATAATGTTCCAAACTTTTTGTTAGTTTGGGGTTAGTTTTTTTTTTTTGGGAAATACAGCTGCCTCACCTGTACAGAAACTTGGCATAATGAGGCTGAGACAAAAGCATAGTGAGAATCTAATTTCTTTACCTTTCCATTATTTGTGCCTTCATTTTGATGAGCAAGCCAACCATATGTCAGACACAGACAATTTAACGGGACACTGCTTCTGCAAGTCTTTGTGAAATGGCTGTATTGGGGTGAAGCACCTCGACTCCGTTTTTCTGTGCCGTTCTAATGCATAAAATTTGCTCTGAAAAAAGTACAGAAGTCTGCAGCAGAACCGCACCCCCGTTTCATAGGCAAGCAGCACAAAAGCAAATTAGAAGCTACAATGCCTGCACTTGTATATATCAGAACTAAAGAGACTGCTACTGGCACACAGCTGGCAAGTTAGTCTGCTCAAAGGGATGAGCAGTCTTGTCAAAGTAGGGCAGAAAACACCAGCTGACCTGAGGCTACTTTTTTTCTGCCATTGCTGCCTATTTTAACCAAAGCAGACTTTTCCATCTTAACTCGGAGCATGTACCAGCATATCACCCTTCTGAAATCACCCATCTCAGTGCTGCTACTCGAGATGCACAGGAACAGGAGAAACCAGCGCCCATATCTGGGCTTCCACCTCGGGCCAAAGGTGGTGTCCCAGCCCGAGCTAACCAGAAAGGGTTTGCAGCCTCTGTGAAGTAAAACGGGAACACTATGGGTTAGAACAGCTCAAGCTGTGATACTATTGAAACTACAGGAAACACAACTGAGTCAAACCCACCCGAGTAAACATTTACTTGTAATAAATAAAAATCAGTAAGATTAATAGGAAAGGCTTCCACCTTACAGAATAGCCGAGTTTACATGTGTCAGCCTCAGGACACCGACACCAACGCCGTGCCTGAGGGACCCCTCCGAGCTAAGCGGGGGAGGGAGGACCGTGGGCGCCCCTACAGGCGGCTGACCCGCCAGACCGCGAGCAGGTCTTCTCTTCTCCTCTGCCCGCTCGGCTCCCGCCCGGCCCTTCCTACCGCCCAGCCGCCATTTTGCGGAACCACGGGGGCCTCGCTCGCTCCAGGCCCGGGGAGGCGACCCAGCAAGGCGGCCGGGCTGCGGGAGGCGGTGGCGCAGGTAAGCGCCCCACCAGCGGCGTATTGCGCCTCGGGTCAAAGCAGATGCGCGGGCGGAAGGCGCGTAGCAAGTCATTAACCCTTAAAGGGCGTGCTCTACCCCACCCCCCAAAAAAAGAAACCAAACCCACAAACTAACCAAAACATCCCCCGTCGTCCCCAAAAAACCTTTAAAAAAATAAAAAAAAAAGTTTAAAATATTTTCTTTTGCTTCTTGTGCCACCCTTTTCTGCCCTGACAGGGGCCCCCTCTGCAGGGAGCTCAAGGCAGGCACGAGTATTTATTGGCAATGTGGCATGAATTATGTGACAGCTTCAACAACTAGTTAAAGCATCCCTAATTAAAGGTTGGACTTTAAAGAAGTCGGTTTTCGTGCAGAATTACTGCATGTTCAGTGCTGTGAACTATACTCGAAGCAAGATTTCCCAGAAATCTTTTCTCTCCTTTCCCTCCAGTGTCCTCTCACTGTCCCTCCAGTGCTCTTCTCACATGTTCTCACCATGAAATTCTGCTTACATAGTTGTGTCAGAAGCAACCTTTGTGTTTCCTAGATAAGTAAAATGCCATGGTTTTTTTATAGTAAAGGTGTAGAATATTTGGCTATTTACAACAATATATCTCCTGAACTGTTTTCAAAGCTGATTTACTATATCGCTGCGTAAAAACATCTGAGGACTGAGCTCATCCACTTCCAGTCTTAACTGGCATTAGGTTTTCTTCTGTTTATATCTGTTTCAGGTTTGAATAGCTCACAATTAGCATCATCATTTGCAAATGCAATGGAAGGGGACAAGACTGAAGATGGCCAGGGTATTCTACAACTTAATGTGCAGGGATGTTTGTACACAGCCAGGCTTGAGTCTTTATGCCGTTTTAAGGATTCAATGCTAGCTTCTATGTTTAGTGGACGCTTTCCTCTAAAAGTGGATGAGTCAGGTAAATATGTTCAAGCTGTAAATATGATTCTGATCAGGGAGCTCTGTGGCAAATACATGCTTTTGTATATACTTGTGCATTTTACAGTGTATCTCTTTTCCAATCTGCTGAGCATCAGTTGGCTTCTTTAATTCCAGGATGTAAAACGATTAAGTGTGCGTGATTTAGGGGTAATTAATCTGGATTTCACAACACTACTCATGTTTGTACAGTGCTTACTGTGTCTTGACCCAGACCAAACTGGGGCTTTGGAATGTATTTCTTCAGTAAAAATATGAAACTGAAGTTTATGAACCCCTATATTCTCCAGAGACACCTTGCTCTGTTCATTACATAAGGAGATTTGGGTCCAATCGATTCAGAATACTTCTTTACCTGGTAAAGATTGCATATTTCACTACCATGGCTTAATAGGAAAGCTTGAATAAACTATTCATAGGTCAAATTTCACACTTGTTTGTGACTTGGAAATCCTGCCAGAATATGTCCAGCTTAAAGATATGATAGATACAGTAATTCCTTGTTGTATGCTTTTGACTGTTTAAAATATCTGAAATGTTTGACATTTTTCTAGGCAGGGTTTTGCTGCCATCTTTCAGTTGCAGTAAACAGCCCACTGTATGCAGCTGCATGTAGTCTGGTCAGTTTCCGTTGTGGTCCTTTAGCCTAGCAGGCAAAGGAGAGAAAAAGAGCAATATTCAGGGAAGGCTGGACTAGATGTGTGCTGGAGCTGATGTTACTTTTAACACTTTTAGTTGCCTAGATCCAAAACTGGGGAAAAAACCCAAACTCTGCAATAGCAAGAAAAGATGTATCTGCAGTTAGAATTAGAAATGCATCCAGAATTAGATTTCAGCATTTTAAGTGAAGTGCAATACAGCTGAGGTTGTATGTTGGCATGGTCCTATGCAGATCGGTGATTTCACCGAAATTCCAAAGAAATGTTTACTGCACTGAGAATCTTATCTTCAAATAACAAATATTCCAGGGAAATGAAATAGTAGTTTTAAAAGAACAGAGACAGTAAACTTACTCCTCCTAAGCAGGTAAAACTAGTACAGAAACTTTATATAAAGGCTTTACTTGATGATTTGGTAGTCCGGCTTCTCTTGCTGGAAGCAGTATTTCAAATAATTTATGTTTTCAGGAGCATGTGTAATTGACCGAGATGGAAGACTGTTTAAATATCTTTTGGATTATCTGCATGGAGAAGTTCGGATTCCTGAAGATGAACAAACTCGAACTGCACTGCAGGAGGAAGCAGATTATTTTGGCATCCCTTACCCATACAGTCTGTCTGACCATTTGGCCAATGAAATGGAGACATATTCTTTAAAGTCAAATATAGAGCTTAAAAAGGTCTTGACATTTCTTACATTTTTAAAGATCTGCTCTCTAATCCACATCATTCATTAGCATCAGATACTAAAACTGTAGTATATGCAAGTTAGCACTTCTTAATTACCATATTTAATCATCAGTAAATTCAAAGGTTTAGGTTAAGGAAACTTAAGAGTTGATAATGCAGCCACAGTAGTTAAGGACATGTTAAATTAAGCTTTTCCCATTGCAATACAGCAACAGTTTAAATTGACTCTGTTTACTTGCAAGTCTGCTGGAGAACTTGCGCAATAGGAACAACATTAGCTCCCTGTATGCCTTCAAATTTTACTTGTGATTAGATTTGATCCCTTCAGGATGTTTGTGGGTTTGGCCTTTTTTCAATTTTACAAATTTATCCTGAAACTCAGAATACAAATGTACTTTGCCATTTTTTTAGAACAAGAAATAAGTGAATGTATTATTTAAAACCCTAGGGTTTGTCTGTTTTAAAGTATTGTAACTTAAAAGCTAATTCTAATTTGCTGATCAGAAATTAACTCATATTACCAGGTCTGTGTTAGTCTTGACAGTCATCTGTGTTCTCTTAGTAAGCTACTGTTCTGCGTATTTCACATTCTCCCTTACTCATTTCCTTTTGAAAAGTATAAAATACTTCCAGGTCTTTAAGTTTTTCTCCATATTAGGGATCTGCCATGCCTTTAATTTCTGTGACTTTCTCCTAGTTTTACAATATTCTCTGTAACATCAGATGAGAAATATTGCAGACATTATTCTGGATAAACCACCTCCTTAATTTGCATAACAGATTTCACCAGTCAGTTAAGAAAACTTAAATATGAAAGCTTATTCAACTAAAACCATTGTATTCTTATTAATATTTGGTATTTTTTATTTTCTTTTTTCTCTTTTTTTCTTCCCCAGGCTTTGTTAGATTTCTGTGACTCTTATGATTTGGTTTGTACCAAGCCCACAGTTTGGGTCCTGCACTATCTCAACACTTCTGGAGCAAGCTGTGAAAGTAAAATTATTGGTGTGTATGCCACAAAAGCTGATGGGACTGATGCAGTTAATACGGAGCTGGGAACAAAAATTAATCATAAAAGCATTTACAAAAGGTAAGATGACTGTCAAACACATGAAAGCAGTATGAAGTGAGGATGAACACTCACATAATATCTAAATAGTATTATATGTAGCATATTACAGCATTAATGTACTATAAATCTGTGAAAGAAATCAGATTCTTTCCAGCTTCGAAAACAGCTGCCCAATACAGTGGTCACATTAAACAAATAAACAAAGATTAACAACTAAGCATGGAGTACAAGAATTTGAGAGTCCACAGAAGGTGGCTAGCATGCTGTTGCTTTAAGTTCTCATTGTTTTACTTGCTATTTTTTAAAATGTCTCAACCATTTAAAATTGCTTTCTAATTTAGGATGATATTTACACTAAATACAGTGAATGAATGTCCATCCAGAAAAAGTTGCAGAAATATTCACAATGTTGGTCATGATTCATGTAATAGTATTTTACGGTCTTTTTAGGCAGCTGGAAGAAATATTTAACACCAAAAAGAACTGAAGATGAAGGAAAATGGTTATAATTCTTTCTAGAACATGTATCTTTCTACTACACTATTAATGTATTTTTATGACAGTAATTATAAGTTATTGGTAGACCTGTACTTACGAGTGTCTGGAAGCAGTTTGCCTTTCTTTTAGTCCCACTTAGTGTGCTTCACTGTGTATCTTTATGTGTATCTGTGTATGATTACAGTAGAGCTTTTGATGTTTCATCTTTATAATTAAGATGTAAATTTTCCTAAATTCAGGCTGGGAACATAAATATTTATTCCAAGAATATGTGAACACATAACATCAGGTATCTGTCCTCCTCCTGTGTTTTCCCTTTGAATAAATGATTGAGATGCAGAAGAATAAATTTTGCATCATTAATTTTGTAATTATTCTTTTATGAACATCTATTCTTTCATGAATACCCATTTTTAGCAGTGTTTAGAGGCATACAGATCATAGAAGGATGGCTGTTTGGAACCTTTTGTATGAATGAAACTTAAGTAACATTTACTTTACAAAACATTTACTGTTAAGTTGCTATAGTTAGGATTTGGTAAAAAGACTTAATGCATTTCAGCAGTGTACATTTGTAAGGACTTAGCCAGATTTATCACATCACTGTTACCTGTAAAACAATATTTCTAGAGAAGCTGGAAATAACATCCAATACATCTGGAGCTATTATTCAGTACCTGACTTAAGAAAGATGATGGATGCTTTCAGTGCCTGGGATGGGAGAGGTAGAGTATTATTTATTTATTTATTTATTTATTTTAATTTTTTTATTTCAGTAGTATTACTTTTTTATATAAAGATAAAAATATTTGCCAATTTACTGTAATAAAGATTCTGCATATGTTTTCACTCATTCAGTAAGTGACATGTTGTAAAATATTCTGTAGTAGTGGCTATCTGGGGACAGTGGGGTCTTAAGGGTTGTTCCAAGAAGGTGACTTGAATGAGTTTACATGAATGAATAGATGTAGTAAGAGCTACCACATGCAAGGGGTGATAGCCTGCTAGCATTGGGCACTCTGGTGGAAGCCCTGGAACCACACTGGCTGTAAATAACACTCGTGTGAGCAGAGATTCAGAGCTGAAATTCTACGTAATAAAATACATACGTTCATTTAGTCAGGTGTATGTACAGATAACACTATGTTCCCTCAGCTAATCAATAGAATGTCCCTTTAAAATGCAGGTATCAGCTACTGGAGAGTACCTCAGGAGCTGATAGAATGTTGGACTCTTGAAGAATGCCCTTTGGAAGCCAGTTTGCATCATATGCCTCCAGTTCGTAAAAGGTACGCTGATTTCCCTAGGTGGCTTAAAATAGAGCAGATATATAGCACAATTTCTTCCCTCCCAAAATGCTGCATTTAGGTTTCAGCTAAAACTCCTGACATGCAGCAGTGGTCCTGGTGAGACCATACAGTGTCTTGCAATACTGTAAATGAACCTAGTTACTGATTCTCTTTTACATGTACCTCATTGCTACTCTTAGAGAACAAAATCTTCGAACGTTCAACCTTTCCTTTTCATTTTAGTGGTTCTTTTGGTCTGTAATGTGCAGATATTGAGAATCCATTCTCATCTTGTGGCTCTGAGGAAGAACTCCCCAGAATCCTTGTAATAAGTACTGGGGTATTTGCAGGCTTTCTGTTTGAAGAGTGTCACCAAGTAACAGTTTTGCAAGAGCAATAAGAAGAAATATTACCCTCAGATACTGTTTATTCTTTTGTATGAATCCCTGTGACATTTCACAGATCTTTAACAGTCCAAAATGCAGGTACCCTGAAGAGTATCAGTGCTTTTGTAGAGTATCTTTTAAGCTGTTTGTCAGTGGCTCTCACAGCTCATAGCCTGTTTACAGTACTGACCTGCCAGCTAAAAGTTTTTTCATTCCTAACAATCAGGTCAATTAAAATTACAGCTTTTCTTTGTCGGCTGAAAATCTAGATATGATCTGATTCAAACATGTTCTTTCTTCTACTTCAGGGCTTTAGTAGCTTTCCCCCACGTAGGAGCCATCAACAGAGCCACAGTTTGAAAGCCTTTGTTTTATTTTTAAATGCATTTGCATTTAAATTGGTCTCCATGTTCTTTCCTTCCCCCCTTCTTCTTCATCTCTCAAAAAAATTATTGGTATTTACTGATCATCCCTCTGACCTGGCCTGGTCTAGTTTTTGTTTCGTTGGGTTTCAGATTTTCTAACGTCCGGTTCAGCTGTTTTAGCATGACCTGAATTTCTGTGGCATCATTTATTATTTCCATGAGGAATTAAAATCTTCTAGGTATCTTCTTTGCCAACACTGAGAAACAGCATATATGTAATACTTTAAAAACTGCTGCCAATTAGAGTTGCCATGAGACTCCATAGGCTTTCTTATGTAGGTGCTTTGTTTTGTATATGAACATTTTCTCTTGAAGGATTATCCATAATCATTTGCATTGAAAAGAAATGGGGGAGGGAGAAAGCAGAAGTATCTTTCTTATTTTCTCAAACTACATAATGTGGAATGCTACATCTTGTCTTTTTCTCAAACTGTATAATGTGGAATGCTACATCTTGTCTTTATGTGCAAGTGGGTCTTACATTTTTGTAGATAACTTACACCACATCAGACCAGTATTTAGTGGACTTTGTATCTGATGGAATCTGTAGCTTTTTAGTCTTTTCTTTCTCTTAACTCTTCCAACTTTTTCTCATTGATTTTCACTCAGCTGTTTGTGCACTGTATCTCTTGCAGTTTTTAGTGTGTAATATTACTTATACTGGTAAATATTACATAAGTAACATTACTTATCACGGTAGTATTCATCACTGATTGCAGCAATGAACAGTTAGGAACCATAAATGATACCATAACATGCAGAAATTAAAAGCACTTCAGGTTTGTGGATGGCTGTTGCATTTGGCTGTCTAATAGCAGTGTTATAAAAGAATAATTTCTGTACATAATTAGTTTCTTTCACTGAAGTTCTTTGTTTTACAGACGATTAATCAACTTTACTGAAGAGGAAGGCTATTTACCGTGTAAAGTGGGGCCCAAGCCAATTAGATTCTCAGGTCCCTCAACAAGTACCCATATCAAAGTCAAGAATTCAGCCTCATAAGGCAGCTGCTTGCCATGTTTCATGTTCTTCAGTGACTCTGAAAAGACCCAACACTGAAAATGTGACACTGCACAGAGTAGCTTCTGAAACTGTATTCCACAACGTGCCCAGCAGTGCCCAGCAATTCCCAGGCACCCTGCAGAAGGCAGAGTGCTGACAATGGGACACCACATCAAGCAACATTCAAGATCACAATGTCTAAGAAGCCCCTAAGCAACTGTGTAGTAAAGCTGAAGCGACCTCCCCTGTTTCTTGGGACACCATCTCAGACATCTTCTTCTATATCCAGTGAAACAAGCAAACAGGACGGTGCTGCTGTTGAAACTCCTACTACTTCTATGGTACCAGACATGAACGAGCCAGCTGTATTAGCAAGAGTGTTAAGCCTAAGAATGATAAAGTGGATGGATAATGTTTGACTCAGCCTGATAGACTGGATAGCTTTGCATTATCTGGTCAAAGAGGATCATCATCAACGTGTGGTTATTTATTCAAAGATTTGCTAGAAAACTGTGATGAAAAAGTTTGTGAGAAGCATAGGAAGAAACTCTTTTAAGTGAGCACTGAAGTGTATTTTCTGCTTTACTTCGAAATATATTCTAGATGTTGGAAACGGAGGAATTAAAATGGATTAAAAACCCTCTCAAACACAGTGCAGTCGTATGTTTCAGTATCTCACATTTGTATTTGTTAGGTTGTACTAGTACAACTGACCTTCTGAAGGGTGTATTTGCACAGCATAAAAGATCTCTTTATTAACTTCAATCACAGTTAACATTGAGTCGATTTCCTTAATTTGTATCTTTAAAGTGGGTAAAAATAGGTAACAATAGCTTTCATTAGGAACAAGTTTGCCACAAGTGTGCAACATACTGAGTACTGGGAAGATTCCAGAAATTGAATGCGTTTGCTGGTATTTTCCACATGGATAAGTCACTGTATTATTAACAGCAATGAAAGGGACCGCCTTGGCTTGTGTGCTGTGAGAAAATTCAGGCAGGTAAGAAGCATGCCTAGGGAGCAACAAGACATTTTTTCCCATAAACCTGAGGCATACACGTGCTACTGTCCCGATGTGGTATGATCTGCTACTAGGCTGAGGCTGCTGCAGGCAGCTGGTGCAGCCTTCACATTTTATATTGCACCAGTGTGGGGTGTGTTTTCTGCAGCTGCAGGGAAGCTCACGGGTCTGAGTTACAGCTGGCCTTCCCCTGTCCTTCCAAATGAGGAGGGGACAACCTCCACTTCTGTGCAGCAAAGCCATTAATAGAGGTGCCCTGCTTTAAAGAAGAACCCCTCCTTCCCCCAGAGAAAAACAGAGGAGACCACCTGGTGCCAGGGTGAATTCTGAGTAATGACACTGAAGAGTTGCTGTATGTGTCTATCAGCAGAGGAAAACTGAATTCAGCTTGATGATTTTAAAAAGCCCTTTTAGTTGTTTAAATTGGGAAAGAAACCTTGGCTTTGTTTTGTGCCCCTCCTCGCTTACAGCTGGGTGCTCGTGTTTTTTGTTGGTTTTGCTACTGCATTTGCTTTTCCAGCCCAGTAAATACAGCTGTCCCTGCACACTGAGAAGTCCTATGACATTGCCAAAATGCCACATTCTTAACATTCCTGAGACTAGTACAGTTACGGAAGGATTCTTTAAACATTTTATTTTCTAGATCATTTTGAAGCCATTTTCAGGCTTTTGTCCTAACCACAAGGACTTGAAACATCATTTGCAAAAGTAAAAATACCAAACTTTTATGTACTAACATAGATTTAAGGAGACGCTTTGTCATGAAGAGAAGTCACTGCAGAGGTGCACAGCATTGTGCTTTTCTGCTATCAGTGTGTATACTGGAGACCAGCTTTACCTTTAGAATCTTTAGTGCTTTTTTCTTATGAAATAAACCTAATGAGCACCAATCTCAAGGCTCTTCCAACAAAATAAGGTTTCACTGAAGGACAAGGCAAAAATTATGGAAAGATACTAACATAATGTAATATCCTATTCTTTGAGCATGCAGTTCATCACTGATGTCAAGTTTGTGATACTTGTTTTTCATAATAATCTGATCAAAAAGCAGTTTTTAATACTTACCTTTTGTGGGACTTCCACTTCACTATTTATTGAATAGCTGAGCACTATACCATGCATCTTTAACTCTTTTCTACAATGCTTCCTTAAGCAGATCTCCCTCCTCTTCAACTTTTGATGAATTTAGAAGGCTTCTATAAACATAGAATTATTGAATCACGTAGGTTGGACAAGACCCGTAAGATCACTGGGTTCAACCAGCACTAAAGCTCACAAAGATCATCAAAGCCAGTATCATGCTACATCTTGCAAAAAGTATGGAATTTTGCATGTGTACAAGACAAAAAAGCTTTGAGACTAATCCTACAGGACTTCCCGAGTTTGCACTAGCCCAGTGGTTATTTAATTATTCTGGTAGCAGAGTATTTTTTCGGTAACATTTGCATCATTTGATTAGAATTGCTTTAATGAGTCTTCTCATTATCCTAGACATACTGGCTTATGTTTGAAAGAGAGAAAAAAAAGCAAAGAAAAAACTCACTTGACTTTCAATAGATGAAACAGGAAAGTGGCTGCGGTGGGGAAGCAGAGCAAGATTACTTTTTGAGGGACTTGATTTTATTTCCTTATTTTTAATCGGATGAGGTGCAAACGTGACCTTGTAACTTAGATCAGAGTAGGCCCTTTCAGTGTGTTTTTTATACCTGTGCATCTTGCCAAGTTTCTCTTAACTGATGGACTGATACGAAACAGTTTTATGACAGTTGAGCAGCATTAACCTTCGTAGTGACTTTCACAATAAAAACAGCTTTGCCCTTATCTACACAAAGCCTTTTAAAATGTGGAAGTAAAATAGAATTACATTAAATCACTTAGATAATAAACACATAATTCAAATTTTACTATGGCTAAAAAGAAATACTGACATTACCCAGGAGTAAGCAGATTTCATCTACTTCTTCCCAATCCACGAAGGACAAATTCTCACATGACAGAAACAGGAAGCCAGTTGTGCCATCAGAAACTTGGGAGTGAAGCTGCCTGTTCTTTACCTGCAGTTACAGAGTCAATGTGTGGTAAAACCGTGTAAACACTCTGTGATAATAAATCCCCACAAAACCCTAGATTCATTTGGGCAACAGCTTTTAATAAAAGATGTTAAGCAGTACAAACAGTAAGGCCAATGCTACAGACCTTTGCTGCTTTCTGAGCTTTTTGGGTATCTCTTCTTACAGAATTTTCTTCATGCCAAAAAAAATCTGGCTGTTCATACCAGAATTGATCATTCTTGGCTGAAAATTACTTTTCAAATTCATGCCTCACATAATCAGCTGTGTAGTGTACCCAGAGTTTGGATCAGAATTTGGCCCTTTTCAAAGTTTCCCCCTTCCTACACACACATACATATATATCTTCACTCATTCTAGTCTCTGGTACAACATACATGATCATTTTAGTTCAGTTTTAGTAGTTTTCCATAATAAAACAGCTGTACTGTCTCAAATTTCCAGAAAGTTTCTATTCTACCCTCACGTGGGTAATTGGTAGTGGTACTGGAACTTGAGACCTCTGGATCCTGCGGTGCCTCTGCTGTAGTCACAAGTACATGAACAGGAAGGATGTCAGAAAATCTTGATGCAGCCCACTCATTACTCACAGTAAGAACTGCCTCTTGTACAAGCTCAGCCCAGGTTCTCCCCTACAACAAGAGTGTCCATTAAAGCACTACAAGATAACGTTTCTCTTCCAGAATTACAAGGTTCTCTTTCAGAGTCACATTTTCAAACACACTGTGTGATACCTCTTTTTTGTCTTTTTTCCCAAACATGCCTAAATAACCTATCTTTTCCAAATGGCTGTTTATGTTACCTTATTTTTTCTGATTTTCCAACTGTGTATCTGGTCCCTCAGTTTGCTGAGTTCTGCTCTTACTCTGAGTTTAATCTTACACAGAAGTTTAATCTTACACAGAAGTTTAATCTTACACAGAAGTATCTGCTTTAAAATACTACTCTTTAAGGTGTGTTTCCACTTTTGAAAGAGCATACAAAGTGCAGTGAGAATTCCAGTGTTTGTGTTTGAGTGATGCCAAACAGCTGCATTTGCTTTGCAAATTGAGGATCTTGTTTTAAAAGACGGCTGGCTTGAAAGTCAAGCCTTGACCTGCCCTTAATTCCCTCACTGACCCCTGTACAAATCCTTGTGTTAAAAGCAGTATCACATGTAGCTAGCTGTGTAATTGGGAGATAGAGAGTTCTACTGAAGATGGGCCCAAGAGCATCCGATTAATTAAAAGTATTGTGAACAGTAAAATAAACCTCCTGGAAACTGGCAGATCTCATTCCAAGCATACAGAGACACAAGAAATGGAAAATGAAGAGATGCCATTCTGACACAGCTACACTTCAGGGCACAGCCATGGAATGCTGTTAAAACATATACTGTGATACTAACCCACACTTGAGGTGCAAGGATTACAGTGTTCCCAGAACCAGCCTGCTCCCCAGCCCACTCAAACCTACACTTGTATCTCTCAAAACAAAGTGTGTTTGTATCACAGCCTGAAGGAAAGTGCTCTCTCTCACCTGTTAGTCCTGGGTCTGTCACATACTGAGCCTCCAGTACATCAAAGGCTAGCTGGGACTGAGGAGTGCAAGGTGGTCCTGTTGTGCTATGACTAATGTTACAGATTTTATTTACTGGCAGAAGCCTGCTTGTGAGAAGCTGATTTATGGAATAAAATAACTTTCAATAATCCTGTCATTTGGAGAAGATATTAAGGAAGGAGTAAGCATCATTATTTATACATTAGATTATCTTATCTTAGGAGGGGTTAGAAGAAGAGACAGATTTCACGAATTATGCAAGGACAATGTAATAAAATTCCTGTGTAATATCTGTATAGACATTATGATTACATCTCTTAAAGTGAGGTTACAGGTCAAACTGAAGGCAGAAGATAGATTTTGAAAAGCTGCCTATCTGATGGGTGTGCATCACACAGATTCTGGAATTTCAGTTCCATGTACTCAAAACATTCAGCTTTAAAGCAGGGTAGGTAATCAACTAGGATAGAAGCAGTGCTTACAATGCTAAGAAAGCCAGTGTTTACCTAGGCATGTTTATTTTTCTTTCACCAGTCTTCCAGATGAAGATGAGATATTTGCCTTTTAGAGTCAGGTGGAAAACTGTATACACATATCAAGAGAAATAAAAATAATAAATTAATAAGCCCGGATAAGGAATGTGCCTCACGCTACACTTTGAGACCGTTTTTCACAGGCCACAGAGGACAAATAAACCAGTCAGTCCTAAGGAAGCATGCAGTCAGCTAACAGAAATTATGCAGACAATAACCCAGGAATAAACTTTTAAAGATCACAGAATGGTTTGGGTTGGAAAGGACCTTAAAGATCATGTTCTTCCATCCCTCTGCCATTGTCCACAAGTGTCCCACTCTTACTGACTTAAGTGGGAGATCTGTCCTACTGACCTTTTACACCTTTCTCATTCTGACACTCAGGCCACTAGTTCACTTAATGCCAGGTCTGGATTCTGGCACCTTACTGTGTTAAATAATAACTTGTATTAGAAGTATGTCCAGGATGGAGCGGCTCTCATGTGAAGGTT